GAAGAGAAATGATTAAAATCACACTGCTCTAAGATTGTTTCCTCCCCATGCAAAGCAATTCCCAACATCCCGTGGAGGAGTCTCGAGTTCCTCAAGTTCACGGGGAAAAAACTTCAATGACTTTGATAATCTGAAAGCATCTCATCATCAAAATTGATTTCATTAAACCAGTGGCAATCTGTTGGCAGCCTGAGAGCCCAGACAGGAAAACACCGATTAAAACAAAGCTGGCAAAACACATTAAAAATTAATGGACTTCTCGATTTTTATCAAAATTGAAGAAAGGCTCAATTCTACACCCAGTGATACAGCCCTGAATGGTGGCAATTAAAGTTCCTCCTTCCAATTACAGCTTTTTACAGCATTTTAATCAATTTTTGTACAGCAAACGAGCGTAGAGTTTAACCCTAAATCAAATCAGCATGGTGTTGTAGGGTGAAAAATCATAATCCTGGAGCATGACATGCAAGAATAAAACTTAGATAAACGAAACAAAATGACAGGAATGTTCATTTCTGACTTGTATTTTAGGCCACTGGAGGGGAATTCATAAGCAGATTTGGGACTTGCCTATCAACATGACCTCACCTTTGTAAATATTTATTCAAACATTTGGGCACATTGCAGGGGATTCCAGATGAGAAACCAAAAGAAATGACTATAAAAGGAAAAGTGTGCCAGCAGTTTCTGTTTAAAAACTGCAGACCCTCAAAGAATTCACCTTACAACTGGGCTGTAACATCCAGGGAAAACTCCAAAGCTGTTGTTTGATTTATTCCTGCCTTTTAGAAAATCCCAAGCCATTAATCCTGAACGGCCTTGACTCGAAAGCCTGATAGAGAAATTTTCATTGCTGAGATTGCTTAAGGAGTTCAGTATCAGAGGGCCATGGGGCTGGAATTGGAATTAACAGATAAAAACAAGAAAACAAAAATAAATAAAACAACAACAACAACAACAACAACAACAACAAAAAAAAAAAAAAAATTAAAATTGTAAAGTTGTCAGCTTTGTCTCCTTCCAGCACAGCACAAACACCTTCTGCTGCTGGGATCAGAGCTGGGTCTGAATGCACAGCAGGTTTATTTAAAGGTTTATTTAAAGGCAGCTGGCACAGTGCCCTCTCCTCCAGGCCTCACCTCAGCATTCCCATTTCCAGAGCCTCACACCAGGCTCCTTAGGACTCTCCACCATTATCTTCTTCTGACCTTTGCCTTTTATTTTTTTTTTTTTTATGTCTTTCTAAGTTAATCAATAACCAGAGACTTCTGCCAGCACTTGGTGCTGATGATTTCAAGGTGCATCAGCCACTTCCACACCAATCCCTCCTTCCCCATTCCAGCTCCCCAGCCTTTCCCAATGCTGGCAATAAAAAATATAAAAATAAAAAGGTTATTTTATATCTTAAAACACAGGCTCAGCAGCTCCAGAACCCAATTATTCCATGCAAAAAAAAAAAAGCTCTTACCCACAACTACACATCATGAGGGACAAGTCTTGCCACGTCCCCGTTCAGGAGGTGGAGGGAAATAAAAAGAGACATTTTTTATGAGACTGTTACTGAGCTTTAATTTCCCACATCCGTTTATGACTGCAAACAAGCCCAGGCAGGGGAAGGTACTATCTATTACCATAATTATTTTTAAAACCTTCACCCCACAGGGTTAGGAAAAAAAACAATGATTTACAGCAGAGCCATAACTATAAAATTGCAGATGGGAACTGAGCTACTTTGCCCTTGTCTGATGCTGAGATCTCATTAAACTGTGTGCTTAAACCTTAAATATTTGAGAGTAAATGGCAATTAAAATAGGGAAACCATGCTCATTAAGCAGCCAGCCTTTCCTCTGCTCAGCTCCCCAGCTCCTCATTTGTTATTTGGTCATTTGTGGAGTTTGACACTGCTCCATCTTCCAGCCTGGACAGCCCCAAAATTCCTAAATAAAGGAAAAAGAGCAAGAACAAAAAAAGCACTCAAGCAGTTTTAAACCTTAAAAAGAAGCTGATGAGAGAACAGAACATTTTTTTCTTTTATCACCTTGAAGGGTGATCCTTTGGCCAAACTCTATTAATGAGACAACAGGCAAAAAGTTTTCTTTATTCTTTCCAAACCTACTTCTTTGACCTCTACCTGCTCTGCATTATTATTATTATCATAATTAGCAGAATGTTGTAACTCCAAGAAACTAACTTTTATTAAAAGATTGCACTGCACACCCCACATCCAATTTTCTCTCTGCATTATCCTTGCCTTTCAGGAGTCAGTGCAGCAAACCAGAGCATTAGTAATTATTTTGGCTTTCTCCTTTCTCAAGCCACCCACCACAAAATCCAAAGCAATGGCTGCCAACCTATCCAGGCTAAAACTGGAAGCTGGAAGAGGAAATGACATAAGAGAAAAGCAGAATTTATGCAAAATGTTGCTGATATGAAAGCAGAACTCAGAAATCTTCACAAATTAGCAGTGCACAGTAATTGAAGCTGCTTGAATCACGCTCCTCCATCCTTCCACTTCAATGGGAGATGGCAGGAAGTAATTAATGGAGACAGGCTCCCTTGCATCTAGCTGGAAATAATTCATCTGGCATCTCATTTCTGGTATTGGCTGTTTGGAAAAACAATTTTTTTTCCCCCATATAGAACAGTTTGTGTCACACGTAACCCCAAGGATCAGCTGTTCTTTATTCTTTAAATACACATAAAGTAATTTAATGGGAGCCCACATGGAAAACTGAACTTTCACAAAGGCTTTCCTACGTGCCTACATAAGGTGGTTCACAGAGTATTTCATGTTTTTAAAAAAATTTAAATAAATTAAGACATACAAACCCCCGATTTAAATAGAGATTTAAAATGCAGTACCACGTACTAGGGATTAAATAGGAGTGTAAATTTTTATTTCTTCACCCTCGTTTTCTACTCAAAATTACAAAACCTGCTTAGAATAAACCCTGTTCTCCATTATTTCTTTTTCTTTGCTGTATGCACAGCACACGGTTCATGTTCTTCTGAACAGTTTTACCAAAAATCTAAAACTCGAAACTAATTCTGTCCTCAACTTACTTCTGTAGGAGTAAAGGCCATGAAGAACACTCAGCATTCCATTATGAATAACAGATGGATACATTTATAAAACACTAAATTTAGAAAGATTTGTGGAGAGCTCTTGCTGAACCTTTCAGAATTAAAAACCTCCCTGTGCTTCGCCACTGAGTCCATCACAGCAAGTTCAGAGGAAGCAGAACACAAAAGGCCAGCGAGTTTTCCACGGATCCAACATTAATGCATCCCACGGATGGAATTTCAAGATGCACAACAAAGCAGGGGCACATGAGCTAAATGCCAACATTCCCTGCCTTGGCTGGGGGGGGTTATTCAATACCCTCACTTTGCCATCTCGTGCAGGGCAAGCTACAAAATTAATGAAAGAAATCAGATCCCCCCCTTTTCACCCAGGATCCCACAGCCTCGGGTGTTTAACAACAACGCTCCCATCCTTCCCCGATTGTTTGGGCTGCTCGGTTCCCACAAGGAAACTCAGCTGACACAAAGGCAGAGCCCCAGCACCTTCCCTCTCGTCACAAAAGGGACAGATGTCCCCAGCAGACTGCTCGGGGCTCCTATTCCTGCAGGAAAAGCCACTTTGGGACACAGCGACATTTCCAGCCGTGTTCCTCGAACGCCCGGTGACAGCAACCTGGGTGACAATGCCAGCAGGAGTTGGCACAGCTGTGCCCCGAGCGAAACCACATTAAAAAAACCCCAAAACAGGGATCAGGCACCACCAGCATTTTTTTTTTTTAATGAAGCCGACAGTTCTGAATATCCGAAGAGTTTGTGTTAATTTAAAAGGAGCAAACACTGAAAGGAGAGCCCGAGTCCCTTCCCAAGCCTGGCAGTGATTTCCTGATCCTGAGCCCAGGGCCTGGATTTTTCCAGGCAGCCCTTCCAGGTTTAGCAGGGCAGCAGCAGCTGCCACCCCTGTGCCCTGTCAATGTCTGGGCACTGCCAGAGCTTTTCTAGGAAGGATTTTGGACTCTTGGATCTGGGGGAGCAGCTGGAGGGACACCCAGGAGCTCTGTCTCACACAGAAAATTCCCAACGTTTCTCTCCATCATCCCACCGGGTTCTTTCTCTCACACCCAGCAAAAACCCTGCCGGAGCTGATTTGGGCACACAAGGACAAATTCCTCGTCCTTTCCCCCAGTTATGAAACGCGTGCCTTGTGCCACACCAAAAGCTGCGTGGCAGCACCACATCCTAAAGGCAGAGGAAGCCGCAGCTCCCACATTTGTCATCCGCAATCCAGGGAACATCCCAGCGAGCTGGAACCATCACCCAGCACAGCCTGGAGGAGATCACCGTGCCCCAAAGAGCGGAGAGGCTGAAAACATCACCCCCGAGTGTCACAGAGCTCACTAGGGAAGGGACACGACTCCGCACAATTCCCCAACGCCGTGCTCATGGCTCGCTGCGATCACCGAGAGCACATTTTTACACTTTAGGATCCTTCAGCACCGCTCCTGTTTCACCTCTGCCCATGAGCCCGGCGAGGGAGAGAAGCCAGCCCGGTGCCAAAATCACATCACACCACACTTGGCTGTAACAAAAGATGACTCCGGCGAGTTCGTGCTCATCATCGCTATTCCACGCACGTCAGAGCCACCTCCAACAGCTCTGCCTTCAATTAAACCTTTACTACAGCAAAGGGCAAAGGGGGGACGGACACACTGATGCCGTGCTGAGACGGAAGGGGTAACGAGGGATAAAGGGAAGGGAGGATTACACAGCTCTTTTCACAGACATCCACCCCCCTCCAGAAACAAGGGAATCCCCCTCCCCACAAGGCACAAGATAACCACACAAACCTGGTGGGCGACAACACATCCACGCCTTGCCCCGCACCGCCCCTCCCGCACCCCCCTTTCCTTTTTTTTTTTTTTTTTTTCTGGCGGTGTTGTATTATTTTATGATTTTTTTTTTTCCAGCTGAGCACTTGCCTCTCCTCCGTGCCCATCAAATATCCCGAAGATGGAGGGGTGAGTCTTGTTCACCAGGTCAGTGATTACTTCGAACCTGTCCTCCATGTGATCCCTCCGGCCTTGGATGGAGTAGACAGCCACGTTGTGGCTCTTGAACTCCCACGTCTTGGAGAACTCAGCGTCCAGCACGTCTAAACCCCCGAGCCTGTCATTCTGCATGATCTCGGCCACCTTGCCCTTCACCATCTTCACCGCGTCCCTGCTGGACTTAACAATGGTTTTCACCTCATCCGTGTGGAAGAAATAACTCCACAGGGCCAGGCTGATGCACAGCAAGAACAAGGTCTCCGGTCTGAGCAAGAAGTAACGCATGATCCGACCCAGCAGAGACAGCAAAGTCATTGTATCCTCTATCATTTATTATCGCGACCGTGTCTCCGCACACCATGCAGCGCGGCGGCTCCGAGCCCGGCGCCGCTCGCCTCAGTGCATGCTCGGCCGGCCGGGCAGCTCCGAGCTCCGCCGCTCCCCGGCCCTGCCCTGGGCCCGCCGATGGATGCGCCGAGCCCTCCGCCTCCGCCACCGCCGCCCGATGCCTCCGGAACGCCGCTGCCGGGAGGGGAGCGGCTCGGCCCGGGAGCTGCTGCCGGCCGTACCTGAGTGCCGTGTCCCCCCTGCGCCCGGAGCCGGCCCGCCCTCCTTCCACCCGGGCGGAGCGTCCCGGCCGCCGCCCCCGCCCCGCTGCTGAACTACAAATCCCGGCAGCCCCCGCGAGTAGCGTGCAGCTACAGGCGGGGTGTGGGGTGTGCTGGGAGTTGTAGTCACGGAGAGGTCGGGGAAAGGAAAAAAAAAATTATTTAATCAAAGCGTGTCCCATGGTTGGAAGTGTCCAAAGCCCAGTTGGACGCGGCTTGGGGAAACTTGGCACAATGGAAAGTGTGAGATGTCCCTAAAGTCCCTTTCCAACACAAACCATCATGAGATCCTTCTAAAGGATCAACTCGAGCGTCACTTGTCCCCCAATTCTCTTCACGAACGCAAACAAAGCAGGATTTTGTCAATTACTAAGCCGAGAGTTTGTTTCTCATTTTGTCGGAAAAAACCCCAAAGCACGTATGGTTTTTCTCGGAGCTCTTTGTAAATTACAATTTTCCCGCAACTGACAAGCACTGAAAACCACAAGCTGTGAGTTTGAGAGCAGAACTTTGCTGCAATATAAACAATTAAATGCCGTATAAACAATTAAATGCCGTATTAAAAAAAAAATTAAATGCCGTATAAACAATTAACAGCCTGAGCTGCTTGCTGCCAGCTGTGGAGCAGAAAACTCACAGAATCCATCCACGAACCTCGGAGCTGCCACAAAAATAATAATAATAAAAAATTGAATTAACAAACCACAGAACCCGGCTGAAATTCGGAGTGAAAAACTGTAAACTTCAGGTACGAGCATCCCGAGTTTTCCAGCAGCTCCCGCTCCCTCGGGACTTTTGTTACTGCACAAGTCACACATAAATTCTTTTTTTTTGCCAATTCTTTCAAAGATAACTGGAAAAAATTGCAGAACCAAAGTTAATAATTTCAGCCTTTCTTTGTCCCATCCTCACCTCCAGCTCTGAGAAATAGCAAAATTAATGACAAATATTAAATATAACAATGATGCTGCTTTAAATTTAAGAGGTTCATAACACTCTGTTAGTGTTTTATCCAAAATTTCACATTTCAGGCCTAGAAAAACTCTCACCTTTATCTTCCCCTCTGTCACGATGTGCTTGAGTTGAGCCACGGATTTTTATTTTATTTTTTTTTTTTACCCAAAAGGCCAAAATCTGCACCTGAGACTTGGGGAAATGAGGTACCAGCACAGGTGTTGCAGTACCTGTAGCTAATGAGGTTGATTAATTAACTTAATTAAAAGTACTTAATGAATAATCCAGGAAAACTGAGGCTGAGTGTCCTGAACAGAGGTAAATAAGAAGCAGCAGGGAAATAATATTTTTAATACTACAGAAATGTGTAGCTGATAAAAAGCTGTGTACCTAATAATTCTAATTCTATTATTAGTAACACTATATTATGGCTTTTAAATTTCTATTAGTTTTATATTAGGGAAAGATAAAATAAATGTAAATAAAAGAGGAGCTGCTCTCTCCCACCAACCAATTTGTTATTAATTTGTCGTTTTATTGAAATATAAATGTGTCACTGTCTATTAGCCACAAAGTGCAGAGCTAATAATTCTAGCAATATTATAATATCACTATCTCCGTTGTGGCTTTTAAAATTCTATTCATTTCATACTTAAGGAAAGATAAAATAAATATAAAATAAGAAGGATGCTGCTCTCTGCCACCAACCAATTCATTATTAAATTGTCATTTTACTGCCATATAAACGTGGAGCTGTGACTCCTGCGTTTCCCTGGGGACACTTTGGCTCCAGATCCTGGAATTGTGCAGGGAAATGAGGCGGATCCAGATCACAGAGCCCCAAAAATCACCCCCAGCCCCTCCTCCAGCTGCCAAGCACTGGCATCCCCCAATTCTCCCCCAAAATTCCGGCTCCTCCCTGTGCCCAGCGCCCCGGGAGCAGAGGATGCTCCGCGTGGAGCACAGGGAGGAGTTTTCCATGGAATTCCACAATTCTGCACCGCTTCAGTGCCAAATTCGGGGATTATTGAGCCAGATCCATGGTCCGAGCCAAAAAAAAAAAAAAAAAATCCGATTCCAGGGCTGGTTCTACACTCCAGGGGCTCTTCCCAGGGGAGAAGCAGAACTTCAACATCCACAAATTCTTGTAAACGCTGGAAATCAGCAATAAAAACGTCACCAATATTCAGGGTATCAACTGATATTTAATTTTTTTTTTTTTTATGGGGGCCACCTCAGGCTTTTGGTCGCTTGTGAAAGGAATGAAAAGTGATTTCTGAGGCAGGTTTGTGAATAAAGTGGATAATTATCCCTTTGGAAAACTGGGAAGAAGCGTTCCCTGCTCAACAGCTCCTCCTCCTGCTCGCCCATGGCATGAAACCACCAGGGTTTGTCTTTGTATTTTCATTTATTTTTGTATTTTGGCTACAGAAACAAATAATCTGATACTGCAAACGCGAATTCATTCTCTATTCAGCGCTCTGATGCACGGGAATTGTGGGTTATAAACAGAATAAATGTGGGAATTATTTTGGCTCCAAGAGGGAAAAATAAAGCAGCATTCAGCTTTGCTAGGCAATTTTTGTGGTAGCCAGAAAAAAGAAATAAAATAAATCAAATAGAGAGTGAGATATTGGAGGAACTCTCGCTGTTTGCTAGTCTGAATAATAGAAACATTTTTATCATTGTCGTTTCTTGCTTGTGTTAAATAAAATTCGATGGTTTTGATTGGAAGAAGCTTCATTTTGTGAATGTACTTACGAGGATAAATAAAAATAATAACAGTGAAAAACTCCTTAATTTCCTGTAGTTGCAAACTGAGTTTATCATTATTTCACCCTGGGGATGAGCAGTGAGGACACAACGGCTTTCCTGGACAAAAACATTACAAGAAATATTTAATTTGATGGCAATTTCTTCATAAAAATAATCCCCAGATATGTAGGATATCTGTTCCATAATGTTCTGTGGGATGCTAAAATGTGGAGGATGTTTCTGTCGCTGTTTGCTGAATTCTGCTGCCCACTTAAAAGGTTTTCCTCAGCATTTGCAGAGTAAAAATACTTTTATTGGCATAAATCAGATATACACAACAACGCATTGAAGATTAGTCCTGGAAAATATTAAAGCAAAATATTCCCCCAAAAACCTGTGGATTCACCTCCCTTTTTTTCTGTTGAAATAAAAAATCAGAGTAGAAAAATTAATACCAATAATAACAGCTATAAAAGTGGATTTTTTTTCCATGTCAGGACAGCAACGCAGTAAAAGAACCTTGTGTTTTTCTTTCCAGATATTTTCAAAAATTGATTTTAGGATATTCAGGGTGGGCCAGCTCTGCAGAGGAATAACTCGGTGGCAAGATCAGAACCTGCTTTGTGCATTGGTTTTGATAAAAATAAACCAGGCTGGGTTTTCATCTCACTTGATAAAAATGACATTTCCTGATTTTCCTGCCAGGATTTTATCTCTTGCAGGGAAATTCTGCCTCCCCTCTGCTGAACCCCTGAGAAATCTCATCCCAGCGATTCTGGTTTGCATCTCCCCTTGAAGAAGAACATTTGCAGATGTGAAATGCAAAACAACGATTTTCCACACAGGGATTCTCAACCCCGGGGACACCTTCAGGTGTAAAATCTGATTTTCATTTCTTTCCTGGCACCGTGACCTCGGGAAGGAGAGGCACGGGGAGATTTCGGATCGATCTTTTAACATCTTTTATTTGAACACAGAATTTGGGTGTGCACCCAAACACGGCAGTGGAATTGTGATATATAAATTAGAAATATGGAGACGTCCTGGTTAAATTCCTGCAGGTGCCTGGGGTGGAAATCCCACACCTGCTTTGCTCAGGGAATAAAATTCCTGATTTACAAATATAGAATTCGGTGTAAATTATACCTGGCATCAACATTAGTTTAAGAAAGCAGAAATCTCATTTCCCAAGTAAACTCTGGGATGTTTTTTATTAACCTTTACATCTTCTTATTCCCTTTTAATATCAGAGCCAAACTACCTGGTGATGCATCCAGGAAAGATGAAAATATTAATTTCGTGGAAAAGTTTAACCAGGGACGTGTTTCAGAAGAAAACTCTGGGCTTTATCAACTCACAGAGCCTTGAGTTGCCACAATTCTGGAACTGCCACAAAAATTTGGCCACCGGGAGTCTTTGCTTGGTGGCAACGAGCCCCAAAATATTAATTTGGAGTTCACCTCTCCGTTCACATGTTTTGGGAGACGGGGACAATTCCAAACGCATTTTCCAGAAATCATTTCCCAGAAACGAACTCGCTGGGAATTGGGAAATGTTTGAGGCACCACCAGAACCAGGATTTTTCACATCTTTGGTTTAACCAGCAGTGGGGACATTTGGGAATGTTTGTAAAGTGAATTAATGCCTCACAAATTCCCCCATCCCCCGACTTTTCCAGAGAGCTCCAGGACGCTCAAGGAAAACAGAAAAGGGAGCTCAGCAATCCGGAATGGTTTTGTAAACTGGGCAGAGTCCTCGTGAAAAAACTTTTCCTCGGATCTGGCCACAAGTTGATAAAAAGCAGCAGCGAAGAGATTTTAATTTTCTTCTCCATTAATTTTTACTCTGTTGAGCAGCTGTCTCGTGTCTGTGGTGCAGACTGGTTCGTTTGCATCCAGCAAAATTGATTTATACATTTGAATGCCTCACGTTTTTCACTCGGAGGCATTTTTGGATGCAGAAGGTGACAAGCTGAAATTCAGGATTAAATCCTTAGGCCAGGCTTGTCCCGAAGCTGAGGTGAGAGGGGAGCTGGGGTTGCAGGCGCCTTTTTTTGGTGATTTCTCTGAGACTAA